TGCAACGCCGAGCGGGACGCATGGGCCGAACGGCCACATTCAAGCGGTCACTCACCGACGCTCAGCACCAGCACCCTCTCCCTCTCCTCCGAGTCCTGCCGGCTCCGGGCGCAGGCCTCTCCTCTGGGCTCACTCTGGCTCGCCACTCCCGCTGGGCAACCGTGAAACTCTGCCGGCAGGAGAGAAAACGACAGGACTGCATGTTCCACGGAGAGCAGAAAACCGGCTCCCCACACAGGTACCAGCCCAGCCCGTTCTAAAACAGTGGTGGGAACCAGCTGGCCTGCAGGCAAACTGGTAGGGCCTGGGGCTCCGTGTGCGGCCCCCTTGGCTGCCTCCCTCCTCCACGCGCCTCTTGTGCACTGCGGCACCGGAGTCCCACACTTCCTATGGCTCCTCCCCCCCAGCACTTTGGAGCACGAGACTCACCTGATTTGCCTCCCTCCCCGTGGAACATCCGCAAATCAGCTGTTCACAACCCCAGTGGGCTGTGGGTTGCTGCGGCCCACAGAGGTGCAGGGGGGCCACTCACGTGGCCCACCCCCTATTTTTGGCTGCCAGGGGGCAGAGACCTGTCCCAAGACCCGAAAGGGCAGGTTTAGCTGCTGTAATTGGTGGGGAGCCAGGCGTGAGCCTTGGTGAAGGGTGGATGTGTGACGCGCTAGTAGCACTTGCGGATGCTGCTGCAGTGCAAACAGTGATCAGGAAGCTGATAAGGGCAGCAGAGAGACCCTGAGCTCGTCTGCAGCCAATGTCGGCAGCGGAGGTGCCCGATGCAAGCTCCACAGCCGGGGGTCTGAGCCTGGCTTAGGCCACTTCCAGCTCACCCAGCAGCAAACTGGGCCCCGGTGGGTTAGATTAGGGCCGTCACAGGCAGCTGGGTGCACGCTGACCACGTGGTCCCTGCTGCACTGTTGCCTACAGCCGCAGTTTTCAAACTAGGGGTCGTGAGTCAGCACCGGGGCATGGCATGTCAGGCACTGGGTCTTGTTGCTGCAGGGGGATCAGCAGGGCGCTAAGGCAGCTTCCTGGCCCCACAGACTGCGCTGCACCCCAGAAGCAGCCGCTGTTGCTCCTGGGAGCAGGGAGAGCCCGCCCAGAACTCCGTGCACTGTCTGTCCCAAGCGCTAGCTCCGCTCTCCCATTGGCTGGGAACCTGCTGCCGGCTGCTTCTGGGGTGCAGCATGGTCGGTGGTGCCAGGAGAGGCAGGAAGCTGCCTCAGCACCCCCACTCAAAGATGCCATCCTGACCGTGTCTCCTGTAACTTTGGGTATAGGTCTCATCATTGTGTACAGTTCTTGCTCTCATCCTTGGCCTCACCCCAGAGCCCACACTCTGATCAAATTCTGTCGGGTCGCGCTATCAACCATTTTCTTCAACTGGGTCACGAGAAAAAACGGCTGAAAACCGCGGGTCTACAAAACCGACGTAACTTCCCCCACCCAATGAGCCATTGGCCCAGCGCTTCTCATGCATCTGTCTGTCTCCTACCCCTTCCCCTGTAGTTATGCATCTCAAGCAGCAAGGTGGCAGCAGCAGGGACTTCTTCTCATCGGCTGTGACCCTCTCTGCGCTGCCGGGGACACACTCAGATCTCTGGGGTGAACAGGCCTGCTCTGTCCTTCCTCGCGACGGAGGAGGGTTTGGTTAGGTCTGTTTTTCTTTCCAACGCCAGCTGCTGTAGGCGATTACTGACCTGTCCCTGGTCCCGCGGGGATCTTTCTCTCTGCTAAGCCCCCCCGGTCCCTGACACATGGCTCTTCCGCCCAGGATAGCAGATAAGGTTTGGAAACGGCACCATCTGTTCCTCGGTCACTGGGTCTCTGCCACTTCCCGAGGACTTTGAAGCAAGCGCCCTGTCACAGGCAGAGGCCCAAGGACTCTACCGAAGAGATACAGTGGCCGAGGCCACGGCGGATGAGGAGAGGGACGAGAAGCACAAGTAGGACCCAACTGGAGAAGACGGTGGCAGGTGCAACACAGCGCAGACCGTAGTACGGTCATGCACACACCTGCCAGACCGACCCAGGGAAACCCTGGACCGTCTCTGGTGAATTAGAGGAGTGGGGGGAACCCTTCCCCTGTGGTTATGCATCTCAGGTAGCTAGGCTGGCAGTAGTAGGGACTTCCTCTTATCCGTACCTCTCTGGGGACACACTGGCTGGCACGAGGGACCACTGAGGTCCTATGGGCTGCACACATGAATCAGCTCCTAACCGGAGAGGACAGCGCGGGGCTAAGAAAGGAGGACATGAGGGAGGACTCTGAGGGCTGCCAGTCTGTGCGGAAGGCTGTATGGGGAAAGCAGCAGCGGTTTAAGGATGTGTTGCTGCATTAATACCTAGTTAGCATGGTCTCCTCGTATCTCCACAAGAACTATAACACCCCCGCCGCCCATCACCGCGACCAGAGCCCGCCCAAGCTACGGGCTGACTGGGCTACCGCCCGGAGCGCCCCATTGTAGGGGGCGCCATGCGGGGCTGCCGGGCCGCCCAGGGGCAGGGCCGGGCGCGCGGGCCGGCCCTGACTGCGACCCACCAGGGCTGGAACCACCCACCACCACACGCCCAGTTCTGACGTGTCTCCGCCCGGTCCTCCGCCATGGTGGCCAACTGAGCCCTCCAGGCTCCTGTGGGGGAACCAGCACTCGGCTTTCAAGCAGCAGCTTTGTTTGGCTTGTAGCGGCCCAAGCTCGGGTGGTCCCAGCGGGCAGCGCACGGAGACCAAGCGGGTGGCTATCGTAGCGTCAAACGCCCCCCCTCCCCCCGGCATGCCAATGGCACCCTCCTTGCATCCAACGTGGGCATAAGCAAGCCCACGAGGAGGGAGTTTACATTAGGTTCTGAGGGAGAAAACGGGCCTAATTCTTTTATATTAGCAGCCCCGCTACCACAAAGGAGCTTGGGAAATGGGGGGAGCTATCAGGGCCCTTTTATGCTAGCAGAGCCGTAATGTAAATGAAAACCCAGCCAGGGGGCGTTGGCCCTGGTAGGCCCCCCTCAGTGCAAACACCCAGAAGGAAGCGTATTGCCGTATTCGTGGCAATAGGCTCCCCAAGGATTTCACAAGGCTGCCCAGCTCTGCAGGAAAAACTTAATATCATGAGCTTTCCTGGGCACAGCCCACTTCTACGGCTCTGTAGGGTTTGCTGTAGGAACGACCCGACGCCAGGAGCAGCCCAACACAACTTTATTTTGCATTGCATCTGCCATATAAAACTACACCGCCAAACACTTGACAGAGTTTAACTGCACGCTTATGAAATTAAAATGTAAAAACAATGGGGGGTGGAGGGGGGGACACAAAGAGCAAGAGGTGAGAAAGAATCAATCCACATCCAGAGGGAGGAGAACTGTGGGGCGAAGAGGCGGGAGCTGCAGAGAAGTCTCTCTCAATCTTGCCGCTGGGGTGTGGAGGGAGAGAAAGGAGGCGGGTTTCTAGAGGAGAGACCCTGGAGTGAGGCCATCGGGAGGTTAGTGGGGAGGGAGACGGTGTCTCTTTGGGGGCGGGAGGAGGTGGGGAGCAGCGTTCGGCGCATGCACCGGCCTTTCTGGCTCTCTGCGGGTTGCGTGGAAGGGACTCGTCCGGGGGTTGGGAGACGGGTATGAAAAACGTGCTGGGGGGGGTCCCTCCAAGGACGTGCCAAACACCCAGGCCGCCTCGTGCCCCCATGGACGTATTTGGTAAAAAGCTTCATTTCCGGCACTGGTTTTCACTTTGCTGCCTTCGATTTGACTCCGTTACGACCCAGTCCCAAGCTGCCACGTGGTTTTGTCCAAGGAGTCCCAGGAGCTAATCCCCACCGCCCAGGGCCTGCGGGAGCCCAGGCGGGGCCCCCAGCTCCGCCCCGTGAACCCGCTGATGGTCTTTGAGGGACTCCTTGTAGCGGAAGCTCCTCCCCACCTCCCCGCACTGGTAGGGCCGCTCGCCGGTGTGGATGCGCTGGTGCTTCAGCAGGTTCTGCTTGCGGATGAAGCTTTTCCCGCAGGCGGCGCACTGGAAGGG